AGCCTGTATGGAGCCTGTGATCTGGAGAGACTTGGTGTACATGGTCATTCCTGGTGTGGCTGCTGTCCCACACTGCCATTTCCATCATGAGACATTTTACAGGCTGGAGATTGAGAACACTGCAAGAAAAAGTGGCTGTATTGTGAGTTTATAAGATGGTATAACAGTGTGAATCTGTGTGATTCTCTGTCCCTTCCTAGTAATTTTTAACCTGCCACTTGTTTTTCTCATGATTGCTAAGCACTGAGCTTGTGTTTTCATAAAACTGTCTGTTATCCTCCATATGCTCATGTCATACTTACATTGCACTCACACATACCTGAGTGATCATACTCAGCTCAGAGCCTACAATTTTATTTGAAAAGGTGGGATTGCTCCTTTCCCAGGTGTGTATCACTTCATATTTAAGGACATTAAGCACCACCTACCATCTTATTCTGCAGTCATTCAAATTTGCACAGTCCATCTGAGCAATTGGCTCATATCTTTACTACCACAAAAATATTGTATTGCTAACAAATTTCACCCTCTCATCTCCTCTTCCAGGTCATTTATGAGTTTTTAAAACTGCAAACATCCCCATATAACTTTCTGCTTTTTACCCCTTATTTGTCCAGGAGAAAACTTCCTCATCTGTCCTGGGACAACTCGGTCTTTAAGATCTTTACACTCTACAGCATCTTTTTTCATAGCTTATTGCTTCTGTGAGCCATAGGGCTTTTCTCAGCATCCCTTCTAAGTATGCTTTCTCCTTTTTAATTTGGGGTGACTGGAACACCACAGAGTGATATAGGCATGGGAGTAACAGGGATTGCTGCAGTATCAAAATTATGTTTGCTGCTTTGTACTGAGTGCCTTTCCTAATAACTACTAAAACTCAAGTTGCCTTTTTGACACTTTGAATATTCAGTTGGCATATCCACAGAGATGCAAAGCTACGTGAGTGACAATAGCTAATTTGCAGCCCATCTTAGTATTTGTAAAATTAGGTTACTCTTTCTCCATGCACTTTACTTGGCACTTACCCACTCTACCTTTCATTTGCCTTTTATCACCCAGTCAGTCTTTAAAGACATTTCTCCAAATGTTCAGTCACCTGCACTTTTGAAAATATGAAAAATAATTCTGAATCATCAGCATATTAATCACTTTATTATTCACCAACCTTTCTTGATCATTTATGAATATGTTGAACAACAGAAATCCTCTCCTCTCCCTTGTGATTGCTAACCTTTGTCTCTTATCTTAAGAGAAGTTGTTTACCTCTTTATGATATTACTTAGCTGCAGTCAGGTTTTTTTACTTTTCTTTTTCTTTTATTTGGCTTTAGAAAAAAGTCTTTCTTCTTCTAGTAGCTTCCTTTTCTCTGCCACCTAATTTTTCTGGGTCTGTATGTGTGTCTGAGGACATTCTTCTCCTATTCTTTGTTTGATGGTAAGTATTTACACTGAATCGTTCTTATTGTGTCTTTAAATAGCACTCTGCTGTTTGTGAACATTTCACCCATTTTACTCTTCCTTTAAGTTACATTTAACAAGTGTCCTTGTTTATATGCTTCCCTTTTTAGAAGGTAATAGATCAGGATTTGGTCTTTTATATTCCTCGGGGCATGACAAACTGAAATGTATCACAATCACTATCATAAAGAGACCTTCCAATGGCCACATTTTGAACCAGATCTTCTGAATTTCTTGTACCTGGTTCAAGTCTCTTCCTCTCTCTGAGTCACTGCAAAACTGATGGAGTATAGAAAAGAAACAAAATGCATCTTTTCCTGCTTTACTTTATTTATCTTTATTTAATTTTCCCTAGGTTTTAACAGGAAGCTCATCTCTGTGCCATGCCTTGCAAGGATAAGCAGCACATGGGAATGTGCCTATTGAAAACACAAGGCTCCACAGGACAATAGCTGGAAGAGATCCATGTCCCTAATTCCAGCCATGACATCTTGTCCAGAAATGCACACCGAGATGAATGTCTCTGTCAGGAGCCCAGACCCTGCCCACAGACGCAGCATCTGCCTGCTGTGTGGGTACCCTGTGTACCTACATACACACATAGATGGTTTGTGTTGGTGCCATACACATACCATTCATATAACTTGTCATAGTAGAGCAGCCCCACAACATGGTCCCACAGATCCCATGGGAAATACACCCTGAAAAATACATCCTTTAAACATTGTGGTGCTACAGGTCGTACTGTGGGGGAGAGCAGGCACCTGCGCTGCCTGTTCCTGACACCAACCCCCATGTACCTCCAAAAGGGATGGAGAAAAGGAGATATAGCAGGGCACCAGTGGCTGTCATGAAGCTAGGCAAACAGTAAACCTCAATAATGAATGATAACGGAGGAGAGTACTGCTCATTGTTATGGTTTCTGGAAACACTAAAACCAGTGTCACAGGCAACGAGCGGCATGTGGTGAGGTTGACCTAAGTGGTGGTGTCAGACTATCCCTGCTCCCAAGTCTCTCCTGCTACTGAGCACCCCTCACACAGCTGGAAGGAGCAAAATTGCTGAAGATTCCTCCTTCCTTTGTCTCTGTTTTTTTTCTCTTTTATGATGATTTAATTTAGGGAACACTCAAAACTTGGGATTTATTTTGTGGGCTCACATGCAGTGGTGTTGTCCCAGTGACAGATTTCTCAGGTCAGCACTTATACTATCAGTTACCAAACAAGGAAATTCCCTTTAGGACAAAGAACTCCCTTTAGGATGTAAAACTAAGTTGTACTGTTGGTTGCTGGTTCTTCGTTTTTAAGTTAAAAGAAAAAGAAAAATAATACCCAAATCCCTTAAAAGTTCTCCACTGTCAATCAGACAAAAAACGTTGCAGCCTGTTACAGACCGGCAGCAAGACGGTCCATACCAGCCCCGGTGATTTCTCCATTTCCTTGCTGGAAAAGAAATGAGAGCAGCATAGTTCAGCTAAAAGCCCCGTGGGACTGGAGGAGGGTGGTGAAAGAGGACATGGAGACTGAAGAAGAGGAAGGAGCACTCCAAGTCCTTTCTGCCTATGGGCACTTGCCCTGTGGGCGCCCTATGCTGAGTTACCAAAAGATCTAAGTAGGTGCCGGCCTCAGGGAAGGAAACACATCTACAGGGAAACCCCAGATACTTTTCAAGGTTTTGCTATATAAACATATTAAAAATCTGAAAGTAATCCTCTGGCAGAAAGCAAGAAGCCTGTTTCTGTCGGTGTATTTGCTTTAAGATAACAACCAAATGCTCTTTCCGCAGCAAAAACTCAGTGGTAGATTTGCCTTTGTGCACACAGTTGGGATCAGGCCCAAGAGGTGACAGCTGACAGATAAGACTTAATTAATGTCCAGTAAGAAGCAGGAGAGATGAATGTTATCGGTAATTCCACCTGACTCATATGATGGGCTGATAATCTATTGAGAACTCCATGTAGGTCTGAAAACAGTGCGGTCCCCTCCTTGGGATCATAGAATGGTTTGGGTTGGAAAAGACCTTAAGATCGTCTAGTTCCAACCTCCCTGCCATGGGCAAGGACACCTCCAGTTGACTGCTTTCCTCTCATGCATGGGCAGTGTTTCAGCCAATCTCACCCCCTGCACCATGAGAAGAAAGCTGATGGAAAAATTAGTAATGACTTTGCTGGATCAGATGTCATGATGAGCGTTTAGGAGCACTGTCAATGTTGCGCATAAAGAGAAAACTGGGCTTTTAAGTTGTAAGTTTGACGTTTTCTCTCAGTGATGGAGGTAAAAGCCATGACATGAACTGCTGAGTGCTGGGACACAGTCCTTCCTCTGCCTGCAGCTTGGAATGTGTGAAATGAAGGATACACAAAATGACTTGTTTACAAATCATGGCTTTCAACAAGAAGTGCCATCAATATATTGAATAGGGATGGACATAAATAAAGTCCATAAAGTATTAAATAAGATAAACAGCAGGAAAATGAGATCTATTATGTTCTCCCTTCAGACCAAAATCCCTGAATCCTCTCACAGGGTTCAAAATACTTTTCAACAAATGAATTACCTTAAAAAACACAACTATGGAAGTTAAAAGTTCTCACTTTGAACTTTGTCAAGGAAAGAGGCACAAACAAAATTTGTATATAACACTCAAAGACATGAAGACACACTCTGTCAAGGATTTAAAGAAATTTATTTAATCCCTTTTTTGGTGATAAACAGGAAAATTTCCCTGGTGGTTTTCCCATGGGAAAAGGGACGCTGCAAAGCACCATGGGGGCTGCAGCTGTCCCTACCCACTTTGCAGATACCTCCTCTGGAGAGAGTGTGGAGGTGGTCCCACCATCCCACTGCTCATCTCCCCTTCATTGGAACTGCACTGCTTGTGTTCAAGCATTGGGAAGTAGCTAAAAGTTTTCCTATTCCAAACTGGTGTAAATTGCCTCATCTGTGGAAACAAACAATAGCCTCAGCCGGGCTCAGTATTTCACAGTCACGCCTTCCACTTTCTGTGTTCATGTATTTCTTCAGGTTCACAGTTTGCCCTGTGGTGTCCTGGAGTTTGGAAGTGTCACACCTCCAGCTCTCCTGCTTTACCTGTTTCAGAATAAGCATAACCAAAATCTTAAAGCCAGGAAAAAAATGGGGCAGAATAGAGACACTTGGATAGGAAATAAATGTATGGATTTTTCAGTAGTAGCAACCATTTAAAGCTGCCCACGGGTCTGAAACACTATAATGGCAATGAAATCATCTAGGGCTGCCAAAGGCACCCAATAGCATCCATTTAATAGATTATGGGATCACGTAATAAATATGTATCTATAGGTACGTAATAGATCAACAGCTCATGGAAGCCCCGAAATTCATCTCAGGGATATCAAAAGATGCATGGCAACATTTCCTAATTAAGCAAAAGAAAAGCCAGCCTCTGGGTGAAGCACTGGATGGAACAATGTTATCAGACCTCTATAGGTAAACACAAGGAGTGTATAAAATGAGGTGCTCTTAGGGAAAGCAGCACTTCTCCTCCACCCGTCTTCCAAGAGCAATGGATCTCAAAGTGGCCTGTGTGCTCTCTGTCATTCTTGTCATAGCCGTCAGCACCTTGGCAAGTGCTGTACCAAGTAAGTACATTCATCCGCTGTTACCTTCACAGGTATGTATGTGGGCTTGGTCCCACTGACTGTAACTGCGAAAAGAGCATGGCTCCAGTTTATGTATCAGACAGCGAATGTCTTGCTCTGGTGAATGTCCAGCTCTACCAAAGCTGGAGTCTACTTTATAATTTTTTCAGAGAAGTCTGTGGCAAGATAAAAAAGACTGCAGGTGAACCCTTGTGTTGGTGGAATAACCACGAACCTGCTGCAAAGGCAGAGGGACAAACATCCCCAGGAGCCTGTCAGGACTGGAACAGGATCTACCTTTGTCTGCATGGTCTGCTGACATTCATTTTATGCTACTTCGCCACATTAATGCAATTTCAAAAGTATCTATCAGCCTCCTTAATAAAAGTCATTTAGACAACTTCAGAACGCAAGTAACTCAATGACAGACACCTAGGATATCTCTAGAATTTCTTGGTTGTGGACTACTGTGCATTAGACTTAAAATGTTAAAAGCATAGTACAACTACTTGCATGTAATCCTATGTTTTTATAGACACCTGAGGAGAATGCAAATATTTTCTATTTTTACACCCAACAGAAGCTGTGGCTGCCTCATCCCTGGCAGTGTTCAAGGCCAGGTTGGACAGGGCTTTGAGCAACCTGGTCTAGTGGAAGGTGTCTCTGCCCACGTCAGGTGGGTTGGAACTAGATGAGCTTTAAGGTCCCTTCCAACCCAAACCATTCTATGATTCTATTACTCTATGATTCTATAAATATCCACTGGACCCTTAACTCTTTCTTAAGTCACGTGAGATGGGCAAAGCAATGAACATTTACTAGCATGATATTTGGAGTTATGGGGTTTTACTATTTGAAGTGGACTATTTGAAGCCCACAGACCCCACTGTGCTGCTCTGACTTGGCTGCAGCCGAGACCAGAGATTGTCACAGGGTGGAGCACAGCCCTGACTGAAATCAAGGGGGAACTTCAGAGAAGCTTTTAAAATGCACAAGTTCTGGTCTTAGCAAGGGGCAGAAAAGGTACACTTGCAAAGAGGACCAGTGTAG